CTGCTTATGACAGTTCATTGCAACAATAGATGAGTAACAGGTTGGCTGTTACACTACTACCTCCCATGCAGAGGCATGTGAAGTTACACCAGTATGACCATGGTAGTTATCTGGTATTAGCCCGTAATTCTTGTACTTATCGCTATTATGGAGCCAAGATGAGGGGGTAGTTTAAAGCATCGATTGAATCTGTCGGCTGGCTGTGCTGCTCCCTTTCATCACAGATGGCAGTCCCACGCAGATAACCCTATTTCAAAGCCACACCACTATCAAACAGTCCTTCAGCCTTTGTATCCACCTTCTCCCGCCCCCATAGCCTCCCTGCGCTGCCGTCCTTGACATTTCGGACTCAAAACCATTGAAACGTACCTCCGTCCACACTCACGAGAAACTTCTGTTGGACGGAAAACGTCGTATAATTGTGCGTTGGTCGTGAGACATTCATAATCCTTTGCGATGCCCAAAACAGACTAAACAAAGCATTCCAACTCTCTCGTCTCCAATGCATTTTTAACTACAGTACACTGTCTCTGTCACCCTGATGTTTTCCCCCCTTTGTACTAGGAGACTTCTGCTGTAGGCATCAGAGGAGGCTTTGAGGCTTCACGGACCCCAAACAACAGCTGGGTGAAGGACCTGATGACACTGTTGAGAACTTGAAGCCCTAGAGGTGACCTTCTGCAGTTCAGTCCAATTCATCCTTGATGCTGCGTGTAAAAATCCAACAAGACGGCTCGATATAACCGATGTCAGCAGGAACCGCAAAGAATGGGAGATCCCCGGGACTACTTGGGGGACGACAGCCCGTTGATCACGGCCGCGTACCTGGGGAAGCTGCGGCTGGTACGGATGTTGGTAGATGGGGGGGCCCAGGTGAACGAGCGCAACCAGAGAGGCGAAACTCCCCTTCTGGCAGCCTGTAAGGCCAAGCTAAGGGGGGAGCAAACCAGCAGCCCCAGTCTGCGGCTCCTCCAGTATCTGCTGGATAACCGGGCCGACCCAAACAGCCAGGACAAGGCTGGGCGCACGGCCCTCATGTACGCATGCATGGGCCGGGCAGGACCAGAGGTGGCCACGGTGCTGGTTCAAGCAGGGGCCGACCCTAGTATGGAGGATTACACAGGGGCCTCATCGCTGGTCTACGCCATCAACGCCCGAGACCAGGCCACGCTCCAGGTTCTGCTGGACGCTTGTCGGGAGGGCGGGCGTGACATCATCATCATCGCCACAGAGCTGAGTGCCGGGGGACGCCCCATTACCCGCCGCTACCTGAACGTGTTGCCCTCGCCGGACACGTCACCAGTGTCCTGCATGTCCCCGTCCGAGATCGAGCTCAAGACCGGCTCCCCAGGCTCAGAGGCTGAGGCCGGAGGGACGGTCTTTGACTTCAGAGCCACGGGGAGCGGGGAGGAAGACGTCCGCCGGCTACGCTCGGAGCCCTGTCTCGCCATCCACAACCTGGCACACCTGCGTAGCTCCTACACAGAAGGCAACCGGCGGCAGGAAGTGACAGACGAAGAGGACGAGACAGAGGCCAGGCACTTCCTGTCGCCTGAGCCGCCTACTTATGCAGGAGGCCGGAGATGGTCCCTCCACGCCCTGGGTGGCCAAGCTTGGGAGACTTGTGAGGCTGCTAAAGGCAGGCCGAGCCTGGGGAGGCCGCCACGCAGGGGACCTCCAGAGAAGCTCTCCCTCCCCAGCAATGCCCCATTCCTGGGCAGGAGGAACACACTGCCAGCCCTGCAGGACCAGCATCTGCTCCAGCTGCCCTCCTTGACCGTTCCCCGTCACACCTCTGACTCCCAGCTACGAGCTCCTTCACCGGGCTCCCCAGGGTCCTCTGAGTCCGGCGTGATGCGGAAGTTTCCAGAGCCTCCAGCACACAAGTCTCCAGCGAGGATTGGCTTCCTGCCTCCGATCCCTGCAAGTGCCACTCAACCCCTGGCAGCCCACGGTCCCCCAGAAGCGACTCCCCGCGGTGGCCAGCAAGGCAGGAGGTCACGGCGCCACTCCATACAGCTGGAGCGAGACGATTCACAGGACGTCCTTACACTCTGACGGTCTGAAAGGAACTTAGGAGATTGAGGTCCTTGCAAGTGAGCCTGAGAGGGATGCAGAAATAAGGTCAACATCGATTTAGGCAGATGGAGAGGACCTAATAGCCACAAAGAACAGCAATGAGGGTGACTTGGTGCATCCAGGAGGACAGGAAGTTGATAGGAACCACTCTTGGAAAAATAGGCTAAAACCTATTAGAACCTTTATTTTGAGAGGAGACAGATGATGTCATCCTGAAGTTAGCAAATGCCACCAATGGCCAGCTGGATGGTAGCACCTGCAGCCACTGGCTCACTGTACCCAAAGTATCAGCTCATGGTTTGACTTACATAAATATGTTCTGAGGGCAGACAGAAAAATTCTGAGAGATAACCAATCAGATTGTAGAGGAAGTGGGGCCAAGACATCTGATTAGTTGGTCCTACTTCCTCTGGTTGCTTGGACCCACCTCCTCTACAATCTGATTGGTTCAGAGAGAGAACCAATCATTTTTGTAGTTAAACTCCCACAAGCCAAGCATCAGGGGGTTGGGGATCCAGCCAAGATGTCTTACAGTATTGGTTTGGTTCCTTATGTTAGTTAATGGAAACAATGTTTACACACAACCAATTTAAAGCCGCAGAGTAGTGAACTCGTATCAGAGGAGAATTTATTCCCAGGAAAAGCCAGATGAAATGTGGTTTCATAAGTGCTGAAAACAAAACAGAGCTGTATGGTAATAGAAGCCGTTGTTTTTATTTGACTTTAAATATGTATCTACATTGAAGGGACACTGGCAAGGGGAAAAAAATACATTTATCAGATGCAAATTCTTTTTTCCCATGTTTGTCAATAAGCAACTTTTTCAGTCTAAAGAAAAAAATTTACAATAAGGAAACATACAAAGAACTTTATTAACTACACAAGACACTCATGTCCTTAAGAAAAGGATCTGTTCTACCCTACCATGAAATACAAAGCAAACCCCGAAGACCGACTGCTTCATACCCAATACTGCCGTCTCTTCAGAAAGGTCAACGATGGGCCAGGAAAAGTGCCCCCCCATCCCTTCAGAAACACCTCCTAATGTTACAGTATTATACATCACGATAAAAATACAGAAATGGCCAACATAGTCATTATTGTATGTATAGCGCAAGTCAGTGAGACTCGAATCTATACAAGAGTATTTCTGGGGGAAACAGCACGCCCCCCCCCCCCTTCTCACACGCTAGTATTACACTAAAACGAGGTTGTTTTTTTTCCCTTTTTTACATTTTGTTTTAAATAGATTTAAAAAAAATCCTTCATATTAAAAGACAGCAATGTGTGGTCCCTGGTTGCTTCAGACTACGTTTGCGTGATGCAGTGGGTGGGCAGTGACACGAGCAGTCGAAGGAAGAGCGGACGGCTGTGTGGAGACTGGCGTCCCCCCGACGCCGACCACAGGCCCCCACCGTCTCCTCACGCTTTGGTGTGATGGCTCCGGCTTCGCCAGCTCAAACTCATGGCTGTTTTTTCCCCCCTTTACTGTAAATTCATCAACTCCTTTAGATTCAAATTTCAGCCACCTCTTGACTTTAAAAAAATAAAAATAAAAAAAATCACATAAGACAAAATAATATTCAGGGCACAAATATTATGGCCATTTAATGCAATATTCGGTCACTGAATGTTGTCACCTTTACAATTGTGGATCTGATAGAGCAGCTAAATAAAAGCACATCGTTTCTTGAATAAAATCCCAGGAATTTGTCACCCCCAATCTGCACATTTTTTTGGAGCTGTATTCATTGGTAGTGACATATCAAAACATGTCAATATCAAAATGCATTTTACAGTATTTACATACCACAACGAATAAAATAAAAACTGGGAGCAGGAAACTGGTGAGAGCAGGCGTACTGGGCCTTAATGGTTGGCGGCAGAGAGGGCAGCTTAAGGTCAGTCACTGCAGCTCTTCACAAAAAAACCAGTCACCAGGCGATCTGACTGGGTGTCCAACTTGGAGTCGGAGCTCCGCAAGACTTTAACACCTGGCCGGGGGGGGTCGCGAAAGTCATTCCTACAGAAGGGAGGGACACGGGGCAAAGGGCACCAGTCATGTCAAAGCTAAGGTCACTGGCCAGAGCCGAAGCAGTGTCTCCAAGGTGGCCGGGGACCACCAACTAGGTGCAGATCGAGTAGCACCTTCCCCATGAAATATTTCATAATCATGAGAAGTGCCGAGAAAAAAAAAAAAACAAAAAAAAACCTTGGATTCCATATCAGACCAAGTTGCCTGCTTGGTACGGCCGTGAGTGGCCCAGTGGAGCCCCCTATGGGCAGGCATGAGGCTGCCTGAGGCTCGCGAGCGGATAAGCCAGCGCAAGATGGCAACTGGCAGTGAACTACTATAACCTGCTGTGGTGCCTTTTACACACGGCCCAAGTAAAAGCAGTGGCGTAGTAACACAACGCTGTGGAAGGATCGTCTTCCAGTGACGAGTGGGAGCAAAGCGCTCAGCACGGGCAAAACCACGAATAAAAGTCTTAGCCAAGATAACTCGGGACACCTCAGTCCCACTGACACTGGCCAATGTGCACAGCAGGGCTTTTACGACGGTTGGCAATAAAACTCATCTGGTCACATGACCCCTTATGTCACGGAGGACCTCATGCAGTCGGAGCTCTGCTACTGCAAAACCAGGATGGAAAAAACTGAGGCAAAGTGGGGAAAAAAAAACACACATGCAGACCCCTGGCGGAGACCAAATGAAAGGCAGTGATTTCTAGGGGGTAAAGGGGAGACGGCTGGGCCTCAGGACATCATATGGAAAACAGTCAGACAAGAATCACAGCTCTACTGAACTGTACTGATGTCCCACACGAGTCAACGGAAATGATCAGTCAGATGGTATGTTAGAGTAATACTATATAAACATAAACCCTGCACAAAACCAGTGGTCTGCACATAAACCTGAAACTGATCACAAAATAGGATACTGTATAAAATCCCTTAGTATGCGTCTCATAAAATTTACCCAGCCTCAAGATCACATTAAAAACCTAGTCTACAGTACCGAACCACTGGGTCTGGGCCTGGACGGGAATGGCCATTCTCAGCAGACTTTGCCTTCAACAGCGTGGAGGCACATCTATGGCGACGAGGGGCGTGTCTATGGTGATGAGGGGCGTGTCTATGGTGACGAGGGGCGTGTCTATGGCAGCAGGAAACAGTCCCACTTGGCTGTGTGATAGGGGTCTAAGAAACCAGGCAGCATTTGCAGGGAGTCAATAAATGAAGATGAACGACTACCTTTTCCAGAGGTCAAGTAAACAGAGTCCATTGTGCATTTGGAGGGTGTGCTTATTTGACCGTCTTATGGGAATACATCGTGCCCTCCCGAAGATAAAATAATAAAAAAAAAAAAATTAAAGCTAATCATTACAATATCAATAATAAAATAACAATATTCATCGTACAATACATACACAGTACAACCCAGAAAATATTTTCTTGCCCAATACAACACAAGTTCCTTCTCTCAGTCCGTGTGTACAAATGAATTTAATGAGGTGCATTTGGGCCTCCTGGACCAGCTGCTCTGTTCAGAGGTCCAGAAGCATGATGAAGCGAGAGTAGAGAACCCCTGGTGCACGGCGTGGGCTGCTGGTTCTGCCCCTCTGGTTTTCTCCAAAGCCTTACTGGTCCAGGCTGCTCAAGAAGCCTGGGAGGCATGCGGAGTCAGACAGGAAGGTTTTCCTCTGCCGCAGAGGTGGCTTCCTACCATTGGTGGCGGCCATTTTGCACGCAGCGGTTTGGACTGGTTTGGCGCCAGTCCTGTGCTCCAGGGCCATCCCTGGGGGCTATGCAAGGCATCCCCGAGGGAAGGGGGGGGGGGGTAAAGTCGATGGGGGTGACGCAGAGTCCATGGGGTGGGAGTGTGAGGGACAGGACCAGGGACAGGAGTGGTGGGTGAGGTGTAAAAAGTACAAATAAAAAATAAAAATAAAGGGTAATAATGAAAAATCACACACTCATCGTCATGTTGGGTGAATACTGGAAAGAGAAGAGGGGAAGGGGTAAGAAAGATGAGAGGGGAGATTGTTTTTATTTTGCTGGTGAAGGCAACTAAAGATCACACCTAAGCAGTGGCTTAGCGCCTTGTGGCACTTAGCTCTACGTGGAAAAAACCACCTGATGTAACCAGCCAATCAAACGAGCCCATTCCTATAGCAACTGCTCACTGAAAAAATGTAAGGCTAACACTTGACTTGATGGGGCACAAACAATATAGTATTATGCTATTACATACGTATTAATTCACCAGAAACTAAGTCTTAGTTACAGACTGGTCTCATGGTAATTCATCTTTGATGAACAGACGCATATTTTATCTCAAGCAGTTACTATATTTGTCACTATATGTTAATTCTGTAAACCTTTGTGAACTACTGAAGGAACTACTGAAGGAACAAGGACAACGCAAATTAAATACTTATATTTGTTCATCATTAATGAATCGTGACATCCTTAATCTCAAGGAGCAACTATATTCGTTCTCAATTTGTACTTCGGCAGTAACTGAGTATTTGTGCCCCATCAGGTAAAGTATTACCAGCGTAAGGACAGGGTCTCACATGCACAGCTCCTGTAGGTCCCCACATGGTCAAAGCCATGTGAGCTGCGTGATGCAGCGCTGACTGAGAGGGTACAGGGTGACCCTTCCACATGGAAGAGTCACCTTGCAGCTATGGTGCCTCTTTTCCAGCACAGATATAACACTGGAATCTACACAGGCATAAATATTGCAAGGATTATTCCCCCCCCCGTTAATGAGGGCTCCCCTCGCAGATCCTGCTCTCTCAGTGAGGCCATGTGGAAGATGCTCTTCAGGAGTGTGCTGGGCAGTGGAGTGGGGGCAGCATCCCTTTAACAATAGTGACGAACAAATGAAGCTTCATGAACCATTCGCTATATCTTTTGACCCCACTAGATGGTGCTCTTGGGGCATACTTTGAGCCCTTTTATGAATGAAGAGCACCATCTAGTGGGATTACAAAATACAGCAAATGGTTCGCAAAGTTTCAATTGGCAGTCACTACTTAACGGTGCCCCATGCCCATTCAAGTACTATGACTGCAGGGGTTAGGCTTGTGGGTAAATGAACCAGGAAAATGGGGTGGGGTGGGGGGGGGGACCTCTACTCACACTTTCACTTTGGAATGGGTTGAGGAAGTTGCCAGTCATCTCCCCGTCGTCACGCGGTGTACCGGGCGGGTTGTTCATGCCCGCCATGTTGTTGGGAGAGTTCTGTCATTGTTGGGGAACGTACAAGTGTAACACTGTAGTTAATTCACGATTCTTGTATTTGTTTCCTATGAGGTGATGGTGCCATAGAGACTTGGAGTACAATGCAACATGCAGCATAAAATTAACATTAAAGTGAGCATCCGGATTTTTATCTCACCTTTGGCAACCCATCCATGTCACCTGATCCTATGAAGAAAAAATAAGATGGAAATTTTACTTTTGAACTCAAACAAGACCTCATCAACAGGCACTAACACCTGAGCAGAATTAAGGGTGCGATTTCCACAAACCTCCTGCAGATGGTGCTCATTCACATTTAACACGAATGGCCAAAAAGTGCACGGGCATGCAAAACTGACCCAAAATGTTGGACTGATTAGCCTTATTCTTGTATTTCTAACTTCAGATTAAGACTGAATACAAAGTTATCCAACGTAACAAAAGCCTGTAATTTCAGTCTGACGGTAGAGGGACACCGTATGACGGAGGAACCACCGCAGGACCGCCAGCTCACCTAGTGACCCGTTCATGTGGTGCGGCTCCATGCTGCCCATCCCTCCCATCGGGCCGTCAGGACCGGGCCCCATTGGGAACTGCAACGCAGGCAGGGGTCAGAGCACCGCACACGCTCCAAGCACTACCACTCTCTCCTCATTTGCATACTATTTACATATCATTTTCAAGTCATTTACATATTACGCTTCATTCATCTGGCTCTTCGCTCTCCTTCCCCCAGTGTTTTACGTGATCATTGTCATGGCAACAGCAGCACAGAAGCGCCCAATGAGGCTCCACCAGAGTTAGTATCTCATTACAGACACACGAATGTGAGAAATGCCTATAGGGAAGCTGCTGTTCTCTATCGCTCAGGGAGACGGGCAACCTCCAGTGTAACGAGCAGATGACCAGTGCTGACCAATCACGCGCCGGCCCAAGAGGGAACTCACATTGGGCCTGTTGCCCCCTGGGCCGATGGGATTCATCATGGTGTAGATGTTCTCACTGGAGTTCGTAGAGTCTGGCGAGAGACCACATGTGGGTATTAGAATTTTACAAATACGATTTCTAAAATACAACACGCCATTTCACAAAGTCCTACAATTTGCTGCCACCTACAAATGTCAAGACTGTTTAACGACACATAAAATAGATTGGGGGAACCGAGTTTGGAGATGCATGACTACAGGTCAAGGAGAGACAGACCTCCGGGACTCGGCATGATGGGAGTTCCTGGTGGGCCTCCTCCCCCTGGGGGGCCCTGAAAGACAGCGAGGAAGGTCACACCCACACAAACCCCTCCAGAAACCAGCACCACCTTGCAGACAAAGGAGCTCAAGCCGACTCCATCAGCATGCAGGCCGGATACTGTAAGAGTGATGAAGACTAGTGGCATAATGCACCGAGAGGACGCTGTTCAATGTGACGCTTCAAGTCCACTGCGCTTCAGTTCCAATTAAATTTGATTTGTGACTAATGGCATCACTGCCCTAACAGCTTTCCGAAGTAACGCTAATGTCAGAGTCAGGCTTCGCTTTTTCAGTAAACTGCATTTTGCTGAAGGTCTTGTAGGCCTCGCGAAGGAGAACCTACTTTGCTGCACTTTGTAGCTGCACTTTAGAGCTCAGCCACTATGCGAGGAGAAGCAGGACGCTACGGCAGCAAGCCCGATCTGTCGTCATCTTCCCACTGCTGCTTACGGCTGGTATAAGACATACCAGATATGCAAGGCGACGGATTTTTACGTCGCTCAGTTTAAGAATCAATGTGTGCAAAGCCACTTCTTGGCTGAAACACAAGCCCAAATTATTAGCTACTACGCCATCTGCTGGCCACAAGAATATAACAAGTAGCACTCACCACATAATTTCCTGGAGAAGAGGAGGAGTATGCTATCTGTTGGGGGGGGGGGGGATAGAGAACATAGTTAGCATCCTCATGGCCTCTTACAACAGCCGTGGACTGAAGCCTTTTCATAAGATATCCACACGTTTCAAAATAAAAGCCAGACACAAAACACACACAAAAAAGTACCACACATGCACGGAAACGAGACGACAGACATACCGAATTTGCATTAGGATTGGGCCAAGGACCTCGTCCTCCAGGACCCCTGAAAGAGAAATCAGACTGAGGAGCCCTGCCTTCAAAACAGCATCCTCCAATAACATCACCACCCGCAAATTAATCCAAACACAGCGCTAATCCAAGCTGAGCCTCTCCATAGATCTCTGGGGAGAAAACTGGGAGGACACTGCCCCCTGCAGGAGGGCAACGGTACTTACATGTTCATCCCCGGCATGCCCGGCCCACCCAGCGAGTTGGGAGGGGGCCGCATCCCGCCATAGTTCTACACGGAGACAGCAGGCAAAACGCAAACATATAATCAGCGTTTCTGTTTGAGAGCGAGACCAGCAGGACAGATGCACTCAAAACTTTTCCTACAGACACATGAGGCATATATGGCGGTAAACATTTTGCATTAAAGGCCATGCCTACCTGGGGGCCCATGCCTCCCATCCCACGTGGGGGGTTCATGCGCATTGGACCTCCCATGTTTGGATGCCCTGCAAGATTGGGGGGGGGGGGGGGATTGTTAATTTCACACAGAAGCAAGAAGAGTCGTCATTTATCCCTCTATCTAAACCGCAGCCCCGCCCACATCCCCATGCACCAATCACAGATCACCTTGGGGTCTGGTTGGGTCCAAGCTGTTGGGAAGTAGGGGCTGGGACCCTGGGACTCCAACAGGGGGCTGCAGGGAAGCAGGAAAAGGAGATTTCACCCTCTCACCTTGTTATGGCACCAGCACATTCAGGGTCTTAAACTCCTTCACTATGTAAACATGTGAGCGCAAGTACCAGGGAGGAGATGCTGTACCTGGTTTGGCATGCGGAGGGGGGGGCGGGGCCCCCCAGGGTACCTCGGAGACATGAAAGGCTACAAGTGCAGAGGAACAGAGATTTAAAAATATATACAGTAAACAGGGCCGGTGTTTCCCTTTTCCGCTGAAATCCTGTATGATCAGTGCCATGACAAGCCAATGTCAAAACAAGGTCTGCCAGCAGGGAGTGCCAGAGAGGCGGAAAGCAAGATGTAAACGTATTTGGAGGGGAGACCCCTCCAAAACAAAGCGCCGTAGAAGTGAACCGGCAGGCAGTGGGAGTCTGAGGGCTCTGTGCCGCTGGCTGGGGAAGAGGGGCGGGCCGGGCGGGTGCCGCAGCGCTGAATGAG